CATCCTCTTCCCTCCTCATTTTTATTTAAGTGAATAATTTAAGGCCCTCCCCCCAGCCCTCCGCAGTAAAGTGCTTCGGCCCCCACCTACCCCTAGTCTTCTGTGTGTCTGTGTCAATGTCAGCCGGGTGTGAATGGGAAACGCGTGGGGGGACCCAGCCCACCTGTCCCAGAAACAAAACGTGCGATGGGGAAGGAAAGGGACTTTAATGACAAATCAGAGGGAAGCAAAGTGCAAACTGTCCACCCCCACGAGGGGGCCATCCTGAGCCCGTGTGCACCCCTCACCCCCCTTCAGGTCCCCAGCGGAGGCCCAGGGCCTGGAGCTTCTGCCTCAGGTAGCTCTTGAGCTGGGGCAGGCCTCTCTGGGACTCCAGTTCTTCAAAGGGTAACTGCGGGGCAGAGGACATAAGTCGTCATCCCTGGGGCTGGGGAGCTAAGCAGCCGGGTCGAGTGGGGGCGTGGTGTGGCACGGTGTGGGCGGGGCCGCAGGGTATGGCGTGGGATGGGGGCGGGGCCTCACCGGCAGGAGCTGGTAACCCATCAGGCCCAGGTGCCGCTCCCGCAGGGCTCGGGAGCCCAGCAGCACCCGGCCATCCCGACAGAAGTGCCAGCGCTCCCGCAGCATCAGCACCACCCTGGAGAGGAAGGGACTGCGGCTCAGGCGCTATGCGTGGGGGCCGGGGAGGCTCTCCCAGGCTCCTGCCTTACCTTTGGGCAGGGTCCCGGGTGGCGCGGGGACAGGACCTGGGAGGGTAGGGCAGGAAGGGGTCCTGGGCTCTCACGGGCAGCACAGCGCCGCAGCTGCTGACACACAGCAGGAAGTCTGCGGGGCCGGGAGAGAAAGAGCCACTGGCTTCCGGCGGAGGCTCTGCTTCCCGGGGGCTCGCCGGCCCACCCGGAGCTCACCTGTGCTGTAGCCTGGAGGCACGGTCAGGTCCTGCCGGTATTTCTCCTCCCCCAGCAGCTGGCGCAGCCCCTCTGCTACTATGTCCTTGTGACTGAAGGGAGAGGAGCCCGGGTCAGAAGGTCCCCCAGGGCACTCTTTTTAGCTTGGTCCCACCTACTTCCACACCCATGCTGGGAAATGGCCTTCCGGGCTTAGCTTTCTGGTGACCCAGAGCACAGCAGCATAGACAGCTCAGGGTCCCCCAGGCCGGTCTACCCGGGTGCTCCTCGCCAGCCGACCCCTCCCCTCCCCCAACTGCCCACCCACCTGTACTTGCAGCGGGCGCGGTCAGTGATGAGTGGCTGGGGGAAGATGGGCACTTGCTGCCTTCGGGGAAGGCGGGCGCCCTGATATCCTGGGAGCTCCAGCTCCACCGCTGTGTCTAGCAGGGAGAGGTAGCGCCGCACAATCAGGGCATGAGGGGTGCCTGTGGGGAAAGCAGGACGAGGCTTACTTTGGTGCAGACCCTCACTCCTGCTTCCCCGGCCCCCCGGCCCTCCAGGACACAGCCAGCCCCCGAAGTCTGCGCACCACTGACATGGTTGATGAAACCAGGGGAAAAGACAAAGTGCAGGGCTCGGAAGGGCAAGCACCGCAGCTGACACAGTGACATCAAGATGTTGACAGTTGCCAGGGGGGCCACCCCTGCTTCCCGAGCCAGGATCCTCTCAAGGCAGGGCATAAACTGCTGCTCCAGAGGCACATAGTTCAGCCGCCCAAAGGGCAGGACCAACTTCTGTACCACCTGTGGGGCAAAGAGCAGCCCATCACCCAGGGGGAAGGTTCTCTGGTCTTCTTTACAAGCTGAACCTCAGGAATGATTGGCCTGCAAGCTGATAACATCAGTCACTGGAAAGGCAGGACAGTCCCCTCTACAGCACAGATGCTCAACAGCATAAGCACTGGTGAGGTCAGTCTCCAAACAAGCAGAGACATGGCTGTGGGTTCTGGCCCTAAAGACTTGGTGGAGTGGGATCAACCAAGCTAAGACAGTGGCTAACGGTGTTTGGAGAAGTGCAGAGAACCAGGTGTACCTGGGGGGGTTGGACAAGCCAGTGGTGGTGTGAGCCTAGGAGGTACCCCAGGGGAGAGGTCAGAGAGCCTAGGTGGGTGGTCTGCTGCATTAAGTAGCAGCCAATCAAGTGGACAAGGGGGGAGGGGTGGGCAGCTAGGCCGGCCAGGGTGTCTTGAGAACCATCAGGAGAGGAGCCTGGGAAGGTGGGAGGCAATCCCACCTTGCTGTTGAGCTGGGCTTCCTGGACCACCAGGAAGTGGGCAATGGCTTCCAGAAGCTGGGGCTCCCTCAACCGGTGGCGGGCCAAGTGCTGGGCCAGGAGCACCATCACGTGGGGAGTCAGTTCCTCGGGCCTGGCCTCTGTGAAGAACAACTTATCACGCTGGACCCTCAGGCCAGACCTGGGCAAGATTCCAGCAGATACCGCCTGCCCCCACCCCCCCATCACCTGTCCCCCTCTCCAGCACCTGCCAGGCTGCGGATGAGGTGCTGCTGAGGCCGCCGCTGGAAACGGGGACAGCTTAGAGCGGCTTCCAACCTTTGCCCACCGCGAAGGATAGGCGGCAGAGGGGGCGGTGGCTTCGGAGGGAGACGGAACCTTCGCTCCTGCTCCAGGGTGCAAATCAGGGGCCCATCTGATGGGAAGCCTGAGAGGCAGAGGGTCAAAGGAGGCAGGGAAGGAGCTGCTCTGCTCTGCTGCAATCCTGCAGTTTTAGTTAGTGAATCCCGTCCTTCTCATCTCCGTTTTCTGGGCTGGAAGGTCTGCTACAGAGCACGCGGAACCACCAGAGAAATGGGAACTACCACGTCAATAAAGGTATCACAACAGTCTGTGGGGAAGACCCTATACAGGGAAGGTAGTAGGATCTCGTCTCTTGCCAATGGTGATAAAATTGCAGTGGCTCCCTAGGGCACTGTATTAGAAGAGACCTGCCAATGCACAGGTTTAATCCCTGGGTCCGGAAGATCCCCTAGGGAAGGAAATGGCAACCCACTCCAGTATTCTTGCCTGGAGAATCCCATGGACAGAGGAGCCTGCTGGGCTATGGTCCATGGGGTCACAGAAGAGCCAGACATGACTTAGCGACTAAACAACAAAAAAGGGGTGGCACCCTAATCTAAGCTCCGACTCATGCTGCTTGATTCGTGATAACCGTTGTGGATTCTGCAGAGCAGCAGCAAGTGTGGCATCACTCAGCAAGTGTGCCGTTCCTGGCAAAGCCAGAGGTGGGATCTGTCAGTGATCTCGGGTGGGTCTGCTACAGTTTCTCTATCCTTCCATTAACACCCACCCACCCCTAGACACCGTCCTCACCCAGTAAGGCTGCAAGGTGCAGACACACGTGGATGGTGTGAATGTCAAAGGAGGGGCAGTTTCGGATGATGAGCTGACTCAAGTCCTGCAGTGTGGCCTGCTCCACAGGAGGCGGCCGCGGCAGAGACCCCAAGAGCTGGCTTAGACGACGAAGTGCCACAGGGTAGTGGTGGGCACGCACTTTGGTGGGGTTCTGCCCCAGCCAGCGCAGCAGCTCCCCAGGGCTTCTCGCCTGTTCCAGAAGCCGCTGCAACCCCTGCACAGGGCCTGCACGGGGGCCTCCTCCAGGAGGCCGGTGGTCTCCCCATTTGTTGGGTCCCAGACAGCAGGGCTGTACTGGTGGGAGCAGCAGCAAGCCAGACAGACGAGCACTGGAGGCCTGGGCAGAGAGCAGGACTCGAAGCATGGAGTTGGGTGCTGGAGACCCTGAGGGGTGGCCCAGAAAAGGGAGTGAGGTATTCTCCAAATGGGAGAAAGACCAGCTCTCTACTCCTCACCTCACTCCCCATCCCGAGAAGCCTGGGGTCAGAGCAACCCGGGCTCTCTTCGCCCTTCTTTGTGACTGCTCTGGTCCTCTTCCCCAACCCACCCCTCTCTGACTCCTTCCAACCTTTGCGAGAGCAATCGGAATCCTTCAGAGTTCTCACGGAGGGATTTTTACAGAGCAATTCCACATGCATCATCTCCTCTGATCCTCCTCTGACACGCCAGTGAGGAGGTAGGCAGGGGCTGGTACTATCTCGATTTCACAGGTGGAGAGACCAAGGCCCAGAGAGGCGAGGGGGTTAAGGCAAGCCCCGAGGTCCCGAATCTGGTTAGTGGTCGCGCCCAGCTTGGAGCCCAGCTCGCCCCACAGATACGCTCCCCCCTACCCCCGACCACCTCCCCCTCCCGCAGGAGGCGGCGGCGGTACCGGAGGGTGGAGCGCGGGCTCCGCGGTCCTGGGTTCCATGCTGGGCGCTCCCACTTACCAGCTGCGTGACCTTGGACAAGTGGCTTCGGTCTCCCTGCCCAAACCTTCTCGCCTGTGAAACGAGAACGCAAGGCCCACCTCGGAGGGCGCCCGTGGAGCCCGCGGGCGCGGCCTGCGCTACGGCGCGGAGTCGGCGGTGTCAGGGGGGCCCCCACTACACACACACCCCCACCCGCGGCCCGGGGGTACTGTCAGGAGACCGTGGTCGCGGTCGCCAACACCAACTCCCGCCGCCCCTCCCCGCGGCCCGCCCCGCAGGCGCCACCCCTACATGACTCCCCAGGCCCCGCGCAGGTCGCTCCCTCAGTCGGTCTCGGGGCCCGGGAGCCGGGCTCCCCCCGCGGCCTCCTCATCAGGGGGCCACCGAGTCCTCCATCTTCCCGGCAGCCCCCGAACCGCTCAGCCCGGACGCCAATCGCCGAGCCAAGTAAGTCCTCCGCCAGCAAAAGACGTGGCTCCCGGCAAGCCCCGCGAGCCAAGGCGCCGCGCGCCCCGCCCCCTGCTTCCGGGAAGCTGCGCGCGCACTCGCACGCGCGGCGCCGGGTGGGGCGGGGCCAAAGGACTGGGGCGGGACCGGGGCGGGGCCAAAGGGCTGGGGGCTGAGATTGGGGTGCAGAGGGGAGTTGGCAGCGGTTGGGCTGGACGGGCAGGGCAGGGCGAAGCGTCTGGCCCACCCCTTTTCTCCCAGTAGGCAAGAGCTCCCGGCAGCCCCCCTCCCCGACCCACACACGCAGACTCTAGGCCAAGAGTGAAAACTTCACAGTTATTTAATCTGCAGGTGTTCCAGAAAGCTCCCTCTACCCATCCCGACTCCCCTTCTCCAGCCCTTCCCAGTCCTCGGGTCCCCAAACCAGCCAAGGAGTGATCCGGGACTAAGAGGTGCCCAGGTCCTCAGGCTGAGCCCTAGGGGCCCAGGCGCGTGGCCCCACTCTGTCCAGGGCCTAGGCAGTGACAGCAGCTGTCTGACCTGGGGTAGCCCACTGTCAGGGGGCACTGAGGGCCAGCTGCCCCGGGACGTGGCCCAGAGCCAGGAAGGTCACAGGGAGGGGCCTCCGCCGACCCCCGGAGTGCCCTGCGGCGCAGCGCTGGGCTCCAGGGTAGCGGGAAGAGGCAAGTCGGAGAGGCGGGCCTGGGCAGACAGCAGCTCCCACCTTGTCGTGGCGAGCAAGGTCCCGAGGGGCCAGCGGCATGGCCAAGAGCCCGCGGAGGCACTACGGGCGGTACATGGCAAAGGCCAGGAGGCTGAGGAGCAGGGTGAAGCCGGCCAGACCCAGAGTGGCGGTCAGGGGAAAGAAGGGCCGGTACTGGATCTGGCAGTACCAGAGCAGGAGAAGCAGCAGAAGGAGCAGGGGCAGCAGCAGGCTGCCTACTTCCAGCCCAGAGGGGCCTGGCTCGGACCCCGGTGGGCAGGGCGGGTGGGGGGGACCCACCCTTGTGGACACGTGGCAGTGGAGGACACAGTTGGGAGGGAGGTGAAGGCTGCCCAGCGTCTGGGTGTCGTCTCCTAGAAGCTGCCCTTGGTAGATGAGTCGCACGTGCTGTTCCCGGCCGGGAAACTGGGTCCTGAGGAGAGAGGGACCTGGGTAATAGAGTGGGTCTCAGGCACTCCTGGCCCCTGGTCCGGAATAACTCTCCCACCCTCACCGCTGGCCTCCACGGTGTGTGTGTGGGGGGCCCTCCTGTTTCAGGGGAACAACACAGTGTGTTGTTCCTCATCAGTTTCCTCATCTATAAGAGGATCTCCTGGATCTTTGCTGGCCCTTCTAGGACTGCCCCACTCTTTAGCACTTCTTTCCTGTCCTCCTCCCGGCTTACCTTTTCAGGGAGCCGATGGTGTCGTGGGGCCAGGCTCTGGCCACCTGCTCGGAATCGTTGAGGAATTTCAGCCGAAGTACCAGGGGCTCCTGGGGGGAGTCCGGAGGTGGCGGCATTGCTGTGAGCCCCACGCTGGGTTCTGGTGGTGCCGCCTGACCTCGCTGTCTCAGGCCGGGGGTCTCAGCTCCTGGGGCCTCCCCTCTGATGCTGTCCGTGACCGCCATGGCTTCGCTGGGCTGCGTTGGTGTTGGGGTCCCTGACGGTTGGGGCAGTGGATCGGCGCCCTCGGCAGTGTGCGTTGAGACCCAGGCGAGAGCCAGCACCAGAAGGCAGGCAAGCACCGAGAACAGGATGGTCACCTCATCACCTACCCCTTCAATCAGGGCCATGGCACCTGCCTTGCCCGCCGTGCTACCGAGCTGGAGAGGCACAAAGAACCCGTGAGGGGCTGGTTCACCCGCCAAGAGCCCTCTGAACTTCAGGGGGCCCCTGACCTCACCCCACCACAACTCTCCCACAGTCCTCATTCCTCCCAGTTATCCCAGCCCTACCCTGGGACATACACTGCTTGACACCTGGCCACCCCAAACTTGCCCCACCTACCTCTTCCCAACACCAAATCACAAGTCCTAATTTTCTGTAACCTAAATTTCAGATGTTGAAGCAGTTCCCCAGTTCACCGAAACCCTATTCTGAAGTCAGAGCTTTGACCTTCTAAGCAGCCTCTCCCCTAAATGCAGCCCCCACCAAACCACCCCAAAGCTTACCTATTCTTCCCACCTAGGTCATCTCAAAGTTTATCTACTCCTTTGCCTATTTCATAGCAAAGCCTATCTGTTAATACTGCTCCATCGCTAAAGTTTCTCCAAGAGAGAAGAAAAAAGGTCTCTACACACACATACACACACACACGCACACACGCATCCCCCCTGGTCCACTCAAACCCCACCGGAGGCGTCCCGACCCCGCACCTCCCCTGGGAAGCGTCTCCAAACCCAGCCTGCTGCAAGAACCCTGGTCTCGCCTGGGAACCCGAGTCTTTGCCCTCCCCACCTCCATCCTCCACCACCCTTCGCATCTTCCCGCCGCCAGCCCCCACACCCCGAGTGGCTGGCGGGCGCGGGAGATCCCGGGGCGGGGCCAGCTGGGCCAGCTGCTGGGGCAGCGGGGTGGGGTGGCCAAGGCGCTGGGACTCACCGCCCGACTCCGCCAGCTCCATAGCGGACCCTCGGGCACTTCCGGGCGGGAGGTGGCGAGGTCGCAGACACCTGAAGGCACCCCCTCCTTCCCCGCTGCCGCCGCCGCCCGGAGCATTGTGGGTCTTGTAGTCTGGAAGTATGCGCAGTCCAGCGTTCTGCGCTGCGGACCCACGTGCGGGGCTCGGCCGCCTGCGCCCAGCGCCCAGAGGTCGCTGAGGGGCTGGCGGGGGCGCCTTTGAGGTTGTACTAGACCGCAGAGGTTCGGGGCGGGGTAGGGGACAGCAGGATCCTCTCCCTCGCCCGCGGGCAGCCAGGACGTGTATCACATCAGAAACCAGCTAACGCTGGTTTCTGGCTGAGCTTGTCATATCACCGCCCCCACCCCCCACCCCCGTGTTTGGTGATGCAGTCTTTGCGGAGCGCAGGTGGACCCTACGCCGTCCTACTCTTAAGTCAGAGTGGACCCTGCACATTGACTCTTCAGCCCAGAGCCCAGTAGCCATGGGCTGTCCCCGCCAGGCTGGCTGAGGAGATGGGTTTTCATGGCTGGCCATGGGAGGCTTCATTTCAGTTCAGTTCAGTCGCTCAGTCCTGTCCGACTCTTTGCAACCCCATGATCTGCAGCACGCCAGGCCTCCCTGTCCATCACCAACTCCCAGAGTTTACCCAAACTCATGTCCATTGAGTCAGTGATGCCATCCAACCATCTCATCCTCCGGGGGGGCTTGGGGCTGCCTTATTTACCTGGCCCCTCCTCCACTGGGCTCCTGTAAGACTGTGTGAGGAGCATGGACTTGGGAACCTGGCAAAAAAATTCTGACCCCTTATCCTGTGCTTATCAAATATATGACCTTGAGTGCGTTATTCAATCTATATGAACCTAAATTTCTTTGTTCTTAAAACTTACCTTGGAAAACAATTGTAATGGGGAAAATTCGGTGTTTTATTAAAGAAGTGTGAAAACTGTATAGGGGATCTGTCACATGGTAGACATTTACTCACTTAGAACACTTCCTCCACTCAAATTTGGGCTCAGAAATTGTATCCTTAGAGTATCACTGTACAGGTGATGTTGAGCCTTGTGTGGTCTGAGCCAAGTTAATTTCTATGGGTGTTTCCCTCCTTCCTTTGGGCTCCTATAGCCACAGACTTTATAGGTCAGTCTTGATTAAAAGTAATGTACCCTGGTGCCCTGATAGCCTGTGCCTACTTATGGGAGCAAACACTCCAAATGTTGCCTTGGGACTGTCAGTTTAGAATTACAACATACAGAACTATTAATAACTTATCTCTGGTTCCTTCCCATTTATCCATTTATTCTAGAAGTATTTACTAAATGTATACCATGTGCTGGGCACTGGGTCAAACTCTGGGAATACAATGGCAAATCTGACTGTACCCATGCCCTCATGTAGCTAATGTACTAACAGAGGACACAGACAATTAGCCCACTAGTGCTAAAACAGGTGTGTGTCGACTGCTGGGGCAATACTTTCGAGGGGCTCTTTACCTTCAGCATCTCTCCTGGGAGGTACCTACTGCAACTTCTTGCTGTCAGTTCTAATTAAGCATCTAAAATATATGTTGGGTACTGCTTTTAGACGTACAGAACATCAGGCTAGATGATCTGTTCAACCACTATATTTTTTCAGATGAAACCCAAAGAGGGTGAAAGACATTCTCAGATTAAGCAGGTAGGTAGGACCCACACCTCTCTGGAGCTTGGGAGGCCCCAAGGTGTTGATTAGCTTGCACCAGGTTCTTTGGAAAGTCCAAGATACTTAGGAATGGTGACCAGGTTGGTACTGGGGTCAAGTGGTTGTGGGTAGCTTAAATGGTGGGCAACTTTATGCTGGGAAAATACCCAGCTTGGCCTGGGAAGTGTAAGTGTATGTAAAAAGGATGGTATCTGTCAACTGTGCCAGGGGACATCGGGGTAGAGTCCCAGCAGGCTGATTGGCTGGGGCCAGGGTTCTGCACAAGCCACCTTGTATGGGGTTTAGGAAAAGTTGGGGGGAAGGGGGTGGCTAGCGAATCTGCATTCAGCTTTAGCAATGAGGATGCAGAGGAACTAGGACATTGAAGGGGGCTTCCTGGCCCTGGGAGTGGACAGGAACACAGGATGGACAAAGGAGAGAAAACAAGGAAAACAGGCCATCATGTGGACCCTGGTGAGTGTCTTACATGGGGTGAGTGGGGGAAGAAGGCATAATACTTGATTCTTTTCTTCCTTCCCCTTTCCAGGGAGGTCCAGCAGCGTTCACTGAATCCTCCACCAGTTCGGCAGTGGGGATCTTTTAGGAGAGGCTGGAAGATAAGAGCGAGGTCGTTGTTTCAAGTGTCATCTTCAAGGGCCCCACAGATGAAGGTCTCAGGAAGAACTGGAAATAGAAACCCGGGACCCAGATTCCCAGCCTCGGTGCCCGCAGCCGGCAATGGAAAGTCCAGGGAGGGCCTGAGAAAGAACCCTGAGTTGGCGTGGTCTCTAGCGGTGACCTCTGGGCGCAGGGACAGGGGAGCCTGTGCCGCACGGACGGCAGGGCAGTGTAGGCGAGGCGCAGTTGGGTCCGGGCCGGCGACCATCCTTGGCCCACCAGCCGCGTTCATCAGCATCCCGGCACTACCCGGAGAACAGACACTCCACCCAGACCAGCGCAGGGGGACGAAAGCGACAGCTGGGGCCTCGAGGCGGGCAGGGCAGCTGTCCCTTCCAAGCGAGTGGCCCTCGCAGCTGGTGTGGTGGGGGCTGGAAAGGAGGCGGAAGGGCCCAGGCTGGGTGGGAGGGGCCGGCCGCCGGGGCTGAGCGCGCGGCTCGGGGGTGGAGGCTGCTTTGCCAGCCAGCGAGCGATGGGCCGGGGGCCGGGGGCGGCGGCGGTCCCTCGCAGCAGCTGGCCGGCGGGCCCCCCCAGCAGTTCGCGCTCTCCAACTCGGCGGCCATCCGGGCCGAGATCCAGCGCTTCGAGTCCGTGCATCCCAATATCTACGCCATCTACGACCTGATCGAGCGCATCGAGGACCTGGCGCTGCAGAATCAGATCCGGGAGCACGTCATCTCCATCGAGGGTGAGCGGAGCCGGGGGCTGCGGGAGCCGGGGCGCGGTGGCCTCTCCGGCCCCGGCGGGGGGCTTCGCGGGCCCGTTCTGGCCACGCTTTCCTGGTCTGGGGGTCCTCGCGCGCCTGAGGTCGGGGCCACGCGGTTTGCCGATCGCTGGCGCTGCATAGCCGGCGGCCAGGCTTCGCCATTTCTCGTCTGGCGACACTTTGGGGCTGGGGGGCAGGTCTCATGCCGGGGGACACGTTTTCTGGTCTGCGTGCTCCGGGATGTGAGGGTGGTGTCGCTGCGGGGACGGGTGCTCTCGGAGCCGCGGAGGTTCCTGGGCCCTGGGGCCCGGTCTGGTCGGGCATGGCCCAGGAGGGTGGGCGCGGTGGAGGGCCTCGGCGGGCCAGGAGGTGGGGCCGCTGCCCGAGAGGCGTCTCAGCTGCCGCCCCGGCCCTGCCCGCCTCGCAGCGGTGGATCGGAGTCTGCCGTTAGTGGATGGCAGCGTTCCCGGGCCCGGCGCCCGCGGGCCCCGGAGGGTGGCGCTCGCCGAGGCCCTCTCTGCCGACGCATACCCCGCACGCCGCGGCGGTCGGGAGCGGGGCAGGCCTGGCGCGGGGCTGGGGCACCGGGGGCCTCGTGAGAGGCCTCGGCCAGGCCAGTGTCGCCATCACTGGGTCCATCGCGCGCCGATCACCCGCCGCTGCTCTCCAGGGAGCGGCTCCAGAGGCGAGCTGGGGGCTCCTGGGCGCTGACCGACCTCCAGGGTACCAGGCGTTGGAAACTGGAACCGTGTGCCGCTGAGTTACCCAGCGCTCCTTTCTCTAGGGTCTCAGGCCTGGACTTGGCAGCTGAGGGGCAGAGGAAGTGGGGGCACGCTGCTGGCCGATGTGCCAGGACCCCTGGTGTGGTGGGGACAGGCAGCGTCGGCAGACCGCTCCCTCCTTCGGCGGCATGGTGACCTTTGAGCGCCCGTGGGGCAGATGGACCTCAGCCTGGGCCATCTGCTTCCTCCTCCTGCTCCTTTGCCTTTGAAGGGGGACGCCCCCCAGCAGGTGGTCAGTTCAGAAATGTAGAGAGAGGGCAGGGCCTTTTACTGAGGACCTGGAGTTGCTGGGAAGGGGCCTGTCCACTACTGGGGCCTCACAGGAGGGCCCTGCCAGCATCTTTCTTTGTGTGAAGCTCTGGGGGTGGGATGTCCTTCTTCTGAACACCCCATCTGCTTTTAGGGGTCCCCACAGCTGAGGAAGGAGTCGTTGGGCTTTTGGGAGGTAGGGGACCTCATTTAGAGCTGGAGTCCCGCTCTGTTCTAGACATGGTCCTCTCTGATTTCTTCCTGCTCCTTGCCCAGCCCTTGCTCATCTCTCTCCAGGCTGAGTTCACAGTGAACTAATTACGTGACAGAAAAAAAAAAAACCTCATTAGCTTGGATCTGAGTAAATGACCTGAATCATCAGTGTGGCTGGGGACCAGCAGGTTGCATCTGTGTGAGCCAGGGGCCCCCAAAAGAGAGGAGATGACCAATTTTTCCTCCTCAGTCTGAAGAGGTGGGGCAGGGAGAGCCGCCATTCCCTGCGGCTTCCCGCTTTCCCCAGGAGGAAGTAAGTTCCATCAGCATCCAGATGCCTCCCTCACCCACCCCCGCCCCCCGCAGGCCCTTTTGGAGGGGGAAGAGGCTTGGTGGGACAGCCACGGGGTGGGGGGTGTGGAGGAAGGCAGGCCGAGCAGGGAGAGGCAGGAGTCTCAGCTGGATGCCGCCTCTAACTTCCGATTCCTTAACAGGAATCGCCCACCCCCCCCTCCCCATCTCAGGAGGTCTCTGGCCAAGCATCTTCTGTGATATGCAAGCCAACGTTTCTGGGCCACACTTTGGTGTTCACCCCCGTCCTGAATCCAACACGACAGGCAGAATTTCCCCCTCTAGAGCCCATCCCCGTGACCAACTTCCCCACTGCGGTTTGGAAGTACCCCGAGTTCCGTCTGCCTTGCCTGGAAGCTTGGTGTCACCATCTCAGATCCTGGGACCTGGTGTCTCACTGTCACCAGGCCTGGCTGCTTCTCACACATCCACTCCCAGCTCTCCTGGTCCCTACCTCCCTACTCTTTCTTGGCAAGGCCACCTCCCGCTTTCCTCCTTTGCCCCCCATAACTCCCCTCATTTTTTTGCCAACCTCTCTCCTGGAACCCGTCTTGATTCTCCACCTCACCCCTGCTTTCCCACTTCTGTCACCCTAGCTTTTCCACTGTAGGCAGGCATCAAGAAGAAAAAAAAAGCCCAGAAAACTCCTTCTTCGATTTCTGCCCTATATCCTTCCTCTCACCATCTGCTGAACCATATTGCTGCTGTCCTGCAAACAGCATCCCCACCTCCCCAGCGGAGGGCGGGGTGGGGGCGCAGCTTTACAGGCAGGGCGTTTCCCTGCTCACCCTGGGAGCCTGACCGAGTCCCGCCACCCCAACCCCCTGCCAGGGCCCCGCAGACCTGGGTTGAGAGGCCGTTACATAAACACGTCCATCACGGGGGAGGCCAATCCTGTGTTTACTAGACATGAGCCTCTTAGTGGCAAGGGATGACATTTCCCTCATGTGGAGTAAGCCTCACTCGTTGGTGCTTTGGTGAAGGGTATTCATCCCAGCCCTGGAGGTGACTGGGGAGGTGTGGTCAGGGGTCCCTTTGGGACTGAGAAGGCTCAGTGGCACCCTGTCCTCCTGCCCTCTCTCAGCCCCTCTGAACCCCATGGCCAGGGCAGGAAGAAGCAGAGGAACTCTGAGCTTTCCTGTGTTTCAGGACAGGATCTGGAGGGAGGGAGTTCCTCTTCCCTCCAAAGGCAAGGAAAGAGAGAACCTGTCCACTGTTAGACCTTACGGAATGTATGAGGGTATCATCAAGAGCCAGGACGGAGGGGGAGACGGCTCACTGCCTGCGGAGTCTCTGAGCCATCCTTGCCTCCCTGGTGGGGGCACTGAGGCTCGGAGGAGTGGGGGACCTGATGGTGTGCCCCTTGTCCTAGAAAGAGGGCCACAGAGGATCCGGGTCCAGATGGGGACAGCCTGGGTGTGCAGGATCCAGGGATGCTGGGTCACGTGAGCTGGGAGCTGGGATGAGTTGTTGGGAAAGGCCGCCCTTGAGGTCCCTGCGGGTGGCCTGGAAAGGCAGGCTTATCCCTGAGTGGCCATAAGCTCAGGGAGGTCTGTCCAGGGCGACACACGGCCTGGATTCAGACCGTGGTCCTGGGTGCCTACTGCGTCAGCCGGGTAACTTGTTCCTGTGGCCCTTGGTGTTCCTGCAGGTGGTTTTTTTGTTGTTGTTGTTTTGAGATGTTTTAACTTATTTTAGTTTAAAAGCATGTTTTACCGATGTAACTTGTCTACAGTGTGGAAAAAAGGGCTCGTCACTCAGTCATGTCTGACCCTCGGTGACCCCCTGGACTGTTGCCTGCCAGGCTCCTCTGTCCATGGAATTCTCCAGGCCAGAATACTGGAGTGGGTTGCCATTCCCTTCTCCAGGGGATCTTCCCGACCCAGGGATGGAGCCCGGGTCTCCTGCCTTGGAAGCAGATTCTTTACCATCTGAGTCACCTAGGGAAACCCCTGTTATAAAATAAAACTTCAGGAAAGTGAAGCCTCCAGCTCGTGAGCTGAGGCCCAGGAGTGTGGTCCGGCTGGGGACCTGGCTTGGGGAGTGGCCCCCAGGATTGCCCCAGTCCTCAAGCTGCGAGGCCCCCATGGAGAGGGAGGGAGTGAGGAGCCTGGCCTCCGCTGGGTCCGGGCCTGCCTTCCTCCAGGGGCTCTTAAGCGGTGAAATTCCTTGGTCGGGGCAGCACATGGCTATCCTGTTACCCCTCACTCACTGAGGCATTGTCCGCCTATCTCCATGGGCTCCGGGCTTGGTAACATTCTAGAGGGACTCAGATAAAAAGACGTGCCGGTGTTCCTGGTTCAAATCCAGGCTAAGGGGAGAAGGTGGCCCGGAACTGTCTGCAGCTGCAGGTCTCCCCAGAGCTGTAGATTTTGTCCCTTGTTGTGTCCTGTCCTGTGACCAGATCCCAGCAACAGCCCTGTGATATGGAGAGAAGCATTGGGTCCATTCTGGAGACAGAAAAGCTCTGTCCTGAGCTGATTCCCTTCTCCTACTCCTGGGGCTAGGCATTCCCCAACCTGCTGATAACACATGCCTGTGGGGCTTGCTGCCTCCAAGAGATCTCACTTGGTGGGTTTGGAATGGGGGCCCAGGGTGTGTAACGTCCCCGGGGCCATTGTGGTAATTAGCTGCTTTGGGGAATGCGTGCCTTGTGGGAACTGGTTATTGAGGACTTTGCACTAAAAGAGCTCTAGGAATTCTCAAAAAGAGGATATTGGTGTGGGTGCCAGGGGCCAGGGAAAGCTGCATTTGTTCCAGATACGTGTATTAGCTCCTGCGATGTGGCCCAGTTGCATCTAGCACTGCCGAGAGCAGGAGGGGAGGGCGGGGGCTGAGCCAGCACTCTGGACACTGAAGGTGAAAGGATCAGTCCTTAGCAGGTCCCAGAGTGGGGACTGGGCATGGCAAGAGTAAAGCCCAAGTTTTAAGAAAAGCCGGGCGAAGATGAGAGGCTGGGAAAGGCTTGTCAAGACCCCAAGTCTGCAGGAACTCGGGTGAGGGGTGGCCTGGAGATGCCTCCCCGTCCCCGACCCCCAACCATTTAGTCCTCCTTCATTGTGTTCCAGCTCTCTGCCAGATTTGGAAGACAGTCCATGTTCCTAAGCACACCCATGGCTGGCATGTACCATAGCTTTCTTCTACCGTTTATTTATGCATTTATTTGTTTCTGGCTGCACCGAGTAATATATGAGACCTTGGTTCCTTGACCAGGGGTTGAACCCGTGCCCCCTGCAGTGGAAGCTGGAGTCTTAACCACTGGACTGCCAGGGAAGTCCCTGCCATTTACTTCTTTAATTGAACGTGTGTGCCAGGCACGGGGTCTGGGAGCTGCTCCGTGCAGAGGGAGCAGGTGTGCAAAGGCAGCAAGGCCTGGGGTTCCAGGAG